ATATCTGCCCCTTTTTTCCAAAATTAATTTCAAGTAATAATAATCAAGAAACAAAACAAAACAGTATTTACAGGAAATTGCACAGATAAACCTTTAATAAGTTGTAGAAACAAAGTGAAATGTTTTGAACTTTGTTTAAATATGTTTCCAGTGTTTTTATGTGTTTTCAGACAGAGTCTTTACCTGCTTCTGTCTGTTTGTTTATCAGGGGTTTCTGCTACTTCAACTCTGTGGCCATCGCTGCCAAGCAGCTCCAGCAGAAGCTCAGCGTCAGTAAGGTCCTCATTGTCGATTGGGTAAGACTTCTTCCTCACTTCTACAACAGGTGACTTTGTGTCCTTGTTTGGTACTAACGTTTTTGTGTTCCATCATCAAAATATTAGGACGTTCACCATGGTAATGGCACCCAGGAAGTGTTTTACTGTGACCCCAATGTTCTCTATATTTCACTCCATCGCTACGACAATGGAAACTTCTTCCCTGGCAGTGGGTCACCAGCTGAGGTGGGTCAAATCAAGAAAACACGGCGACTTTTTTGTGAGTTTTACTTTGACGGGAGTTTCGACTCTAAATAAAATGTTGGCTTCAGGTCGGTTCTGGAGCCGGCAAGGGCTTCAACGTGAACGTGGCGTGGACTGGAGGACTGGACCCACCCATGGGAGACGCTGAGTACATCGCTGCATTCAGGTAGAGCCACTTCCTGTTCGCTTTTGTTCGTGCGACACAAAGCCTGGCAGAAAGACAAAGACCTGTAATTATGTGAATACCGAGTCGCCCTTCACATTATTGTTTTCTTTTTTTATTCTCAAACTACTTTCACACACTTTGGGCTATTTTAACCCTTCGTTTATCAAAACAATCACCTCGATCCCGTGTGCTACGACTTTTGGTTTTGTAAGTTTTTTTTTACATTTGAAAATCTTTCACTTTAACACATTCTCACTCCCAACTCGTCACATATTGATGCTTTTCCAAGGTTCCCTCTGCGTCTTATTTTGACGCGTCGGGTAACCCCTTCGCTTCAGTTATTGAAGCACCAGGCATTTCCGGGTTCCCTCGGCGTCCATTTTTTATGAGTCTGGACGCAAAATATAGGGGTCTTTGWGTTGGGGTCTGTGGTTAATATTAGGGATCAGGGTTGATGGTTAATCTCAGATAGTGGGGTCAGGGATAGGATGTCTAGGGCGAAGACTAGATAATACTACTAAGTAATAATACTAGGTAAAGAGACAGATAAAAGCTYGTTTTCTGAAGGTAATATGAAAGAGCAAAATGTGAAGCTATATGAATTATTGTTTGAGTTGATGTTCTTATCTTTATTTTTAATTTTTATTTAGTATTGTTTTGTAAGTTATATTTTCTTTGAATATATTTTGGGGAAAATAGGGGCAGAGATAAGATTTATTC